CCGTCATCCTAGTGGGCCCCGGATAGTGCCGTCATCCTAGTGGGCCCCGGATAGTGCCGTCATCCTAGTGGGCCCCGGATAGTGCCGTCTTCATAGTGGGCCCCGGATAGTGCCGTCATCCTAGTGGGCCCCGGATAGTGCCGTCTTCCTCCATTTTAAAGTAAGAGGAGGGGTTTAGGCGGCGTGCAGCTACATGAAGCACCTGACTGTGTGAGGCATCGGCAGGAAGGTCTTCACACTGACTGGTGTGACAAATGGAAAACATGGGACATTCTCCCACAGATGTAAACTTCTGGAAAGATCCACTGGTCTCCGTAGGATGAAAATAACACATCAACAGAGTTTACCCTGCCAAGTTTGCAGGAAAGAACCCCTGACATCAACGATAGACCATAAAACCAGCCAGGCAGTGGCTGAGGCTTGACCTTCCATGCGGAACTGCTTCCCTGTGGCCCTGGGACACAAGGCCATGGAGACTGAGGTCGTCCAGTTCGCCACCATTGCCTGGCCCTGGTTTACAGAATGCCATTATAGCCACACAGTGATGCATCCTGGTTAACAGGGAATGTTCTTAGAACTTCAACCAATGTTATGTGAAGGTCAGCAGAGAATGTTTTACCATAATATTAATGGAACTTTATTTACACGTTTTATATTTTAACAAAGAATCTGTCAATGTCAGACCGATAACATTATTATCTCAACATCCTATTAATAAAAATATTGTTGCAAAATAATAATAAAATACTATTTTATAGCAGTGCTGTAGTGGCATGGTGGTGCAGTGGTTAGCACTGTTGCCTCACACCTCTGGGACTTGGTTTCAAGTCTCTGCCATAGCTCCATGTGTGTGGAGTTTGCATGTTCTCCCCATGTCATCGTGGGGTTTCCTCCGGGTACTCCGGTTTCCCCCCACAGTCCAAACACATGCTGAGGCTCATTGGAGTTACCAAATTGGCCATAGGGGTGACTGGTGTGTGAGTGTGCCCTGTGATGCGTTGGCACCCTGTCCAGGGTTGTTCCCTGCCCTGTGCCTATAAGCTCTGGGATAAGCTCTATATCCACACGATGCAGGACGAACAGTGCTGTATGTGCTTACTGCAAATGCGCCATCCAGCCTTGAACCCATGATCTTTGCAGTGTAACACAACTGTTACCTGTGGCCCTACAATATCCTTCATTCATTTATGTATTACTAGTCTTAGTGGTAGTAGTAGCTTAACGTTCTGGGACCATCAGGAACACTTTGAACGTTTTCATACAGTATCTTAATTGTAACATTAAGTAAATGTTCCTAAGATGAAAGATTGTTAATGGGAATGAGTCTTTCATATTAAATATTTAATTGCCACTAATTTTTTCTTTCTTCCTCTGTCTTTCTGTACTGTATGTCCCCCTCTTTTTCTGCACTCTTTTTCTCAACTGGGCCCCCTCAGCATGGACAGGCAAGTATGACCTCCGTGGTTGATATTCCCCATTCCCCTTTCTGTTGTGTTTGGATACAGCTGCTTGGCCTCCAGATCTCTAGGTGGCGCTGCATGCACTCACCGTTTAGTTAAGCGGGGGGGGGGCGGGGTTTGTTCCAGTGATATCGTGGGCTTAGCACGCGATGCAGCTGTCTCTCAGACGTCTCCGGGGTAGCGGAGTGACTAACTTTTATTTGCCCATTAAGCTGGTGCTGTTTGTTGGTTTAACGCACGGTCACACCATCTCACCGTGGGCTGTGGCTTGGGCTTCCGTGCCAGAAAGCCGGAAGGGATCATGCCATTGTTTGGATGCAGAGTCTTTGGAAGAGAAAGCGAATATTACTAGGAGCAGCGTCTATGAATCATGGCTTATCTTACAAAGGCACGGAATGAGTGTAATGAGATCAAACTCATTCAGGGTAATGAGATTACAGGATTTCACTGAATCAGTGTTTGTTTGTCTGTCTTTTTCTTTTTTAATTACGGTTTATCACGACATTTGACCATAATGGATGCGGTTAAGCAACAGTTTAATGTAACATTTTAATATATCACTTTAATGTAACACTTTAAAATAACTAAATAAATAATGTAGTGCTTTAATGTAATGCTTGAACATAACCCTTTAATGCAATGCGTTAATGTAACATGATGATTTAACATAAATTGAATATAATGGCTCACATAAGGCAACTATTTTTAATAATATTATTATGATAATATTGGTGCTATATTAGGGGTCTCACAGTGACGCTGTGCTTTACAGTGTTGCCTCACACCTCTGGGTTTGCATGTTCTCCTCATGGCGCCATGGACCTTTCTCCGGGTCCTGTGGTTTCCCCCCACAGCCCAAAAACATGCTGAGGTGAACTGGAGTCACCAAATTGCCCATAGGAGTTCCCGTAGGAGTGCCCGTGTGAGTGAATGGTGTGTGTGTGAGAGAGAATGGTATGTGAGTGAATGGTGCGTGTGTGAGAGAGAATGGTATGTGAGTGAATGGTGTATGAGTGCGTCCTGCGATGGGTTGGTGCCCCATCCTGGGTTGTTTCCTGCCTTGCGCCCATAGGCTCCGGACCCCCCCCCCCCCCCACAACCCTGAATAGGACAAGTGGATGGTATTATACTACATTTAATGATCCTAAGGAGTGCTTTGTGTGTCATTTGTGCTTGTGGGCTGGTATCTTGTCATCTATATGCGTGTTAAATGTTCACCGTCATATAATCATATAAAGTCTGGTCTTTGTGTTGTATTGTGTTTCTCTGTATGCGTGTACACGTGGGATTGGCTGTCCAGTAAAACTTATCATTTCAGATGTGGCGACATTTACATTTTTGATAAATGGTCCTCAGGATTCTTCACAGTTGTAGTTTTTCCAACAAGATGTTTTCTGTGAAAGAGTTTGATTGTTGTGTAATGCTTATTGTAGCGTGTCTACCAATTTATATTCTTGGCAGCAGTTAGTGGAACCAGTAAAGACCTCGATTTGGGGATAGTGGATGTAATTGCAGCAGAATGATCAGTGGTCAGTCGCTGCTTTTCAGGAAGATTGAGTGGGTGTGTGCAGCCAGATGGCATGTTGGCAGTATTCTGGTGTGAACTCATGTGCTGTTAATCCCGTCTTACTCATTTACACTCATTTAAGTGTGTTCTATGATCTACCTTCATATATTCACATCTTAGTTATTGGAAATATAGTTTTATGGAGTTGGGTCCAGAAATAGTTTTTGTAAGAAGCTGCTTGATTCTTTACTCACTTTTCAGAATCATCCTATTCATTCTTTATATCTTAGTGGCTATTCGCATTTTCATTGCTGTTAATGAGACTGGTTGTATATTCTTGTGTTTTGTGTTGAGTTTAGAATGAATTACAGACTATTTATTTCAACATATTTTTGTTTATTATCATTTTATTGTCATTTGTTATACAGAGTTATGACACTAACTCTACCAGCTCTATAAATTTGTACCAATAAGTAGTCTTTGAACATATTTTAGGTACTGTAGCAGTTTACTTGAGGCAGCACAAATAAAATGTATTAATGAACCACAAACTATAAACCCAGCCGGTGATTCTGTCAGACAGAGTTCAGCTTTGGACATTCTGCACTGACACTGGTCACTGGCAGTGACAGCAGTGACAGTCGATGCCGGGTGTCATGATACGTAACAGTAAGGCTTCTTAGTAACTCTGTATTTTCATAACAGCTATCAGTTTTCAAGAACAATTGGGGTCCAGATGAAAATTGTACTTACGTACAGTCTGTTCATTTTTTCATTCTGAATATTTTCCAGCAGTCTTTAAGATATACTGCAGTATTTTTGAAGCAGAATTATTGAAAATCAGGCCACACTCTGTTTTGTTGCTAATCCTGCATTATACTGCTAGTTTGGGTGAATCCATTTAATTAATTTTATGTCAGGTATACATATATGACAAATTGCATGCATTTAGTCCTCCTTGACCTTCATTCTTATGCAGAGTGTATAGTAGGGAGGGGGGGGGGTGTTTTGGCAATTAAATTTAAATATTACTACATTTAAACAACTGGTTGCATTGGGTTTACTGGGAAAAGTAGTTAAATTTTGTTGCTATTCTGCTGATTATGAAGATGTTCAAGTTTATCTGACTTGGCAAGTCATCTTCTGTTGTTTAGGTTAAGTTAAGGTGGAAGAGATATGATTATTTTGTAGAAAAAGTACTCAGTATTACCTGTGAACAAATGATAAGATGGTACGTCAACATATTCCACTGGTCTTCATTGAGTGTGAAGATTGTTGATTTTGACCAGTTATTGGAATAGTTTGATATTATATTTTTTTATAAGTTGAGTGGCTTTCAGTGATGATTTCAATGGCTGTGATAAGGGGCCTGTCATTCCCATAAAGACTGACCCTTTGTCTTCCGTTGCTGAAAACCTTTCATGTTTTGCTTTTGCCGATTTTCCCGCTGAACAGCAGAGGACAGCGATGGTAACAGTTGGCTTCACTGTTCATCCCCCTATATAATGTGAAACACTCTGCATCTAATGATACCCCGAGTCTTTGCTGGCTTTTTGATTTGAGATGTTCCTTAAGTTTAAAGGCCTAAACGTGCTGTTTCATGGCTGTTTAATGTCTCGTCTTTGACCGACAATGCTGCTCTTCTGCATGACATGAATTGGGGGGGGGGGGGGGGGACGTTCACTTGCATGTTCAAAGACATTCTTGAACATCAGGCGGAGAAAGAGAATTCTGAAAAACACCTGGATGTCCCTAAAAAGGGTTAATATGAATTCCATATGAGTATAGCCCCCCCCAGGAATTATTACTGCCATTTGACAAAAAGCTTGTCTTAGTAAGTCACACAGGGGGTGCTGTGACGCAGTCCTGTCAGCACGCTGGTGGGTGCCTGGCCCTCTGTGATGGATTCTCACTGCACTTTTTAAACTTTAAAAACATGAAAGGGTGATATCGATTCAGGCCTTAAATTTTATTTAAGGGCCACAGCAGAGCATTAAGGCTTTGCTGAATTTTATTGGCTTAAAAACAAAGGAATACGAACAGGCTCTTCACCAGTAAATAAAGCTGGTCCCCGAGCCAATGTCCCGAGTAACTGTGAGCCTTAAAAGCAGATTCTCACTGGAGGTCTGTTTTCACACTAGGCTGATGGGCTTCACTGCTGTCTACAAATACCTGCTTTCCTGCTTCTGAAAGATGCAGGTGACGAGGACTGAGACCTGTATCATATAGAGTCATTCATGATTTGTTTTTGTCCTATTAACCAAATTTACTGTGTAAATCGGCATTCAAATTAACCATTTATCAGCCTGCTACTGGATTCATTAAGAGAACTTTGCACAAATGGTTGCTCATTGACCCCCTTGTGATCTTACCTTTCTTTTGTTCCTCTCTCTTCTGCCTCCAATCGTTCATGGACGTCCACGTTAGGACGAAACGGTGAGTGCTACCCCAAACCCCTTATAGTCCTGCATGCTTCACCAAGCCCTAACCCTAAACACACAACCCGTCTGCCATCCTCACGTGCCAAATCTGCCCCAGATGAAGGCCTCGTGTGAAAGGTCGGCCGGGGAAGGCACCATCTGCCTTCCTGACACTGACTGTGACCGGGGAGGGGGGCTTCCACGTCCTGTGTGCCGGGGTGTTGCCATGGCGTTAGTGATTGGTGCATCCTGTATCTGTTAGCGACTGTCACCGAGGGCGTAATACTGCCAGTCACAGATGCACTGAGAATGCGGCAGATTAATCTGTGAAATGACAGACAGGGCTCCACTGGAATGTTCTAGAATAAGAGAGAGTCCATCCAAATGCAAACTGAGTGTGTACATTCTGTCCCCGGATTTATAGGCGACATACACTGAATAAACTGAAACAGCTTGAAGTTACACATATATTATGAAGCTGATGGACTGGCAGCTGCCAACACAAGTATATGAGAATATTACATTTTATTGAGTGTTTAGTATTGAGAAGTGAGACAGCACTGTGGCAGCTATTGGCAATTATTCTCCAGTGGACGGGGCTTGGTATCTGATTGGCTGTTTTACTGGACAGCCAATCCCACGGGTCTCACCTTAGCGCTCGCCGGCACTTTCCCCACGGTCCCTCCGCTGCCTGTCACCGGCGTGAACGCTGGGTCCTGTGCGGCAGAAGCAGCAGGTTCTCACGTCCTCATTTCTTCTTTGCAGTCACTGAGACCATGGATATCTCTGAGGAATATGGGTACACGCTCATCGCCCCAAGGTGAGACTGTCCGCCGTGGGCCTACAGCCCGGCCTGCCAGGTGCACTTTCTGCATTGTGTCTGACCATGACCATGGGGCCATACATTAGGTGTACCTGGGCATGGTGCCCTCTTCTGTCGGTTCATGGGACGTTTTATCCGAGGCTTGGTAATGAGGTATGTCAGACATGCTGGATGCCCATCTGCGTTTTTGCTGTGGCCGGGCCGCTGGAGAAGCCGCCTCTCCTGCTCCTGATTGGCCGCGAAAGGTTCCGGCTCACTGTCTAATCCTCCATGACATATCCGACCGCCTCGGAAGCTCCCGGCGGATTGGGAAGCAGCCGCAGAATTTGCTCCAAGCGATTACATGAGATAGATTTAGCAGCCGTGGCCCCTGGCTCGTGCTTTTGAGCGCTTGTAAATTGACATGGTGGACCGTTGTATCCCTCGCAGCTGGGCGGGAACCGGTTTTGTCTGGCTGGTTCTGATGATGAATGATGGTATGAAACTTTGCGGCAGGATGCTGTCACTGCATGATTTTCTTTGTACAAGGAGGTTAGAATAAGTTCACCTCCCGCAGGAGGTGCTGCAGCCGGGCCTGATCCACACGCTGTGGAGGAGGTTAGCACACTGATGAGCTCACGTTGTTTTTGCAGGGAGTTCTGCACGGAGCCAAAGATCTCGGGCGACAATAGGCAGGTCCTCAAGAACTTCATCCTTCTGACCTCGGGGGAAGTGGCAGACGGCACGACCTGTGAGTACCAGGGGGCTCGGCCCACTCCCCTCTGCCATGACCCCCCCCGGTGCAGTCCACGGGCCCTGCTTTTGATCCAGACGGCTTAGCACATCACAAATTCAATTTCACGCCCAAATTATGGTAATCGTGCAGCTGGACGCACATGTGGCGGACACATCGGGCTGGAGGCCGCAGCCCCGTCCAGTTTCCATACTCATGCGTGCCCTGCTTTGGTGTTTTACTGGCCCTCCGTGACAGTCCAATTATGTGGTGTTTGTGAGGAGAAGCAGGCCAGCTTGGGGGGGGGGGGCGAGGGGCAAAAGCGGAGAAGTAACTAATCAATGGGAAA